AGAAATTTGAAATCGATTTTAAGCGGTCGTTATTCATTTACCCACATACATACATACATATATTACTTTTCATATCAATTCAAGTATATTACATGCGCCCCACGCTTTTCATTTTCAATTTCATAGATTGTTTATAACGACTTTTGCTAAAATTTCAAAATCAAAAGTTATCAAAACAAATTCTATGGGACTGAGAAATATTATTCTCTACTTTTTAGTCCATTTATAAAAGCGTTGTATATTAAAAAGTTTTTTTATATTATTTATTTTCTACTTTTTAGTCCTGTCTGAGTAAAATTTTGCAATAGATATTAAAATAATTCAACGATATTAATAGAAAGGTGCACACACATGCATTTACATATGTATGTACATACAAACGAGCACCAATTAATTTTATTTAATGAAATGGCGTGTCGTCTATTTCCGCTGTAGCAAACGTAGTACATAGGGCGACATCTAGATGTCATCTACCTCGCCCTATTCACTACAGATGTCGCCCTATGCACTATGCTTTTTTATAGGAACTTTTCAAAGCAAAGCTTTATGGTGTCGGACACACAACATTGAAAGTTTCTGGATCCACAACATTGAAAGTTTCTGGCCGATGCTAAATCTCCTTTAAGAATGCAAAGGCAGCGAACGAATTTTAAAGGAACGACAAACTAAAACCGCAATACGAAGCAAAAATTTTTGCGCATTGTGTATCAAAAATGGGAACAAGAACTTATAACAGAAATAATCTCGCCCATATCAGTATTAAGTATTGTCAGAGTTATGAGGAAAGAGAATGGACATAAAATCGCCACCAAACGTGTCACAATTATTTTCGTCGGTTAGACATACCTTCCGAGGTGACCTATATGTACACCAAAATTAAAGTTAAGTATTACATTTCCTTTACACAATGCTACAGATGTTTCAAGTTCAATCACTTCGCTCAGCACTGTAAAAAGAATGGTACTGTTTGTCCATTATCTAGCGAAACTCATGAAATTATAATTTGCAACAAGAAACGATGCGTAAACTGCGAAGGTGAACATGAAGCAACACATAGGCCCTTATTATGAGTTGTATTCGATTTTCGATCTTCGCTGGTTATCGAGGATCGAAGATCGAAAGTGAAATTGGCATTATGAGCTATGCAACCGTTTCGAAATTTTCGTTGAGCATCGAATTTTCTGTCGAACAGAATTTTGCTTTCGATGGTGTAGCGAAGTGTTAGAAAATTGTGAAAAATTTATGATTTTGCATTTGTTTTCTTACTTTTTGGCGGCTAGACACTAATTTTAAACAGATTTTGTTAATTTTATGCAGTTCCAACGTCGTGAATACTAAACAGAAGCTCGGAAGGCTGGGTTTACTTGTGAAAGAAAATCTCAATACTCAGTTGGCACGATCTCTGAGAACAAAATCATCGAGCTGTTTATAGTTTTAATATATTTTAAATAGATTTGGATCACAAAATTTCTTAAATATATTGTATGTCAAAATATACCCGAAAGGCTACACTTAAACTCTCTTAAACGTTTTCTGCTCCTGGCCAGTTTTCTAAGCTCTCATCGTCTGACGAATCGTTCAACCAGAACTCCGTTGTGCTAATTTTTACCAAGTTTTTATAAACTCGCTATATTTATACCTTTCATGAGCATGAAATGGTATTATAACTTTGGTCCGATGTTTGTAAGTACCAGAATAAGAAGAGATAGACCCATTAAAATGTATACATAAATGATCAGAACGGCGAACTGAGTCGATTTAGCCATGTCCGTCTGTCCGTCTGTCTGTCTGTCTGTCTGTCTGTCTGTCCGTCTGTTTGTATGCAATCTAGTCTCTCAGTTTTCGAGATATCCGGATCAAATTTGGTAGGTGGGTATATTTTTATAATGTATTAATCATTTGTCGGAACCGGAAGAATCGGACCACTATAACATATAGCTCCCATACAACTGATTGTTCAGATATGAGATTTTTCGTTATAACTTCTCCATTTATGCAGCTAGGAACATGAAATTTTGCAATACTTCCACCCATTATCAACAGAAAACTTGGAGTGAAAATTACAAAGATCGGGTCCCTATAACATATAGCTCTCATACAACTGATTGTTCAGATATAAGATTTTCGTTATAACTCCTCCATTTAAGTAGCTAGACACATGAAATTTTGCACTGTTGTCACTTATTATCAAAAGAATACTTTCAATGAAAATGGCGAAAATCGAGTCACTACAACCTGTATCCACCATACAACTGATTGTTCAGATATGCGATTTTTTGTTATAACTACTCCATCTATGCAGCTAGAAACATGAAATTTCGCACTATTTTCACTCATTATCAACAGAAAGTTTACAGTAAAATTAACAAAGATCGGGTCACTATACCCTGTTTATTGCCCCCATACAACTGATTGTTCAGATATGGGGTTTTACTGTAAAACTCCTTTATTTGGACAGCTAAAATCGATAAATTTCGTAAGCTACTTTTTAAATAATAATACTACTGAGAAAATCGTCAAAATCTATGCTGTATAATCTTAATCTCTTGTACCACTGATTGTTCATATACCAGTTTTTGCGATATATGTATCTCCTTTATGTAGGAAGCTAAACCCATTAAATTGTGTTACCGGTTTACGTACCGATCACACAGCAGTGAAAATCACTTAGATTGGTGCTATATAAGGTATATCTTCCATACCTCTGATTGTTTAGCTAGTATTTTTTTTATATGTATGTCCTCTATCTTTGTCTGCTGTGAATATATAAATTTTTTCAAATGCAGTAATCTGTCAACGTAAAATCTTCAGATGCTCATGAAAGGTATGGAGCCTTCGGCATAGCCGAAGACAGCGCTACTCTTACTTGTTTTTATTTCATTTTAATTTGCACAAATTTACATAAATATGTATATGCACACTATTTAGTTCGCTCGATTTGTAACCAAAGTTTGTCAGCGGCGAAAAATATTCTATTGTGAACAACCGAAACGAGCGAAATTCACAATAGCGCTATTCTTCATCGAATGAGCGCCGTAATACGAAATGAAGGCCCGTTCGATCAGCACTTTCGACTACAGTCGAAAATCGAATGCAACTCATAATAGGGGCTATAAAGATTGTCCTGCGAGAATTAAAGCCCACGCTATTAAAAAAATTATGACAATCGAAAATCTCCACACAAAAGAGGCAAGAACCAAATACTCACACTTTTTTGGAAATCGCTTCCAAATACTAGACGAAGATAACGCTAATTTTCCAGCGCTGCCTGGTAAAGAACCACGCTAACCTTAAATAATATGGAAGAAGCAGCAAAAATTATGTACAAACAGCTACCATACACAAAAGTGAGGAAAATCAACCTGAACAGACAAAAAGAACAAGAAAAAGATATGGACACAATGAATGAATGGCGAAAATCAATTCAAGAGCACAACATAGGCATACAACACACGGAATTAGCATATCCTAAAGAACTTATTACACACATAGAAAAACAAGATGAATTAGCTACAACATTAAACCAGGACATTTCCAACTTCCTTACAAATAATTCGAATAATATAACGAAGGTACTGCATTTCGAATTTCTAACGAGCATACAAGACAAACTAAAGCAGATGTATAGTAATACTGATGAATGGAGAATACACTCGAGCACATAATGCGAATAGTACAATACAACATTCAGAGTCTGAAAAAACCTAATAATGAGGAACTATTGGAAATGACCCTAATACATGGAGGTGCGGGCATATATATAAACAAACGCATTAAATTTTCTTTGATTAAATTTATAACAAATGCTGACATTATTGGTATTACAATGCTAAACCTTAAAATTAAATTCAACATCTATTGTCCACCAGATATGACACCTACAGAATTCAAACAAGAACTGGAAAAAACCTTTACTACTACCAAAAATCTGAAACTTAAGTCCATCTTGGCGGGTGACATTAACAGCAAATCAATATTATTGGGAAGTAGTGCCACGGATACCAAAGGCGATATTTTAGAAAACCTAGCAACAGACTACGGATTTGAATGCTTCAACGATGGAAACCCTACATACATTATTAACGACATAAGACATCCGAATGTAACTTTTAGCAATATGAATACAGCAAACATGAAATGGAAAGTGCTACCCCTTAAAATAAGGCTGACTTCCAAAACGTCAATTGCTTTGCATACGTACAAAGTATAATGTCCCATAACGCCGAACTACAAAATGTTGACAATGTATACTTTTCCAAAACGCATTCGAAAAGTTATCGAAACGCATCGCTAGAGCAATCAGCGCATCAGAAACAAAGTTGATGCTTCGATTGCTTTTGGTGTTTTAAAAATGGAAAATTCAGAAAAATTGTTCGTTGCTAAATTGAATATATAAAATATGCAATGTATAAGGTTGCAATGTGTCGCAACTCTGCATATACAAACAGTTTGAATACCGCAGTATAACAGTCTCCAATCATTGTATTGGGACGTTTTGGAAGTTAGCTTAACTATCAGCAACTATCAACCAGTCATAATAGAAATGGGTGAATATCACAAGATAAAACAAGACTATTATACAAAAACCTTAAATCATAAAATAATTCAGGAATGAAGAATATAAAAACAGACAACAACCTACTAGAATTTAATCAAAATGTCCAAAAACTTAAAGTAGATAATACAATTAAAATTAACAGCAACAACCGTTATCAACCAAAAAAAATTGTGGAATAATGACATCGATAAACTCTACACAACACAACAACAGATACCAAACTTACAGAAATATAGAAAATCTGAATAAGTTAACGGAAGCACAGAGGAACCTACAAAATCAGATATCATTAAGGAAAAAAGAAAGTAATAATAATTTATTAGAGCAGATTTTGGAAACAACAGACAGCAAACATATGTAGAACAAAGTTAACAATTTAAAAGAAAAAAAACGAACAATACATGGACCAAAGAACAAAAACATGAGTTCTTAAATATGATTGCGAATGCAACTAATACCGGCAATAACAATATCCCACCTGACTTAAACACTTATACAAACACCGGATGTAACCTACCGGAATTGACATTAGCAAATTTTTCCAACTTCTTAAAAAAAGGAAGCCTGATTCGGCTAATAAATCCTACCGTATGATTAACAATCTTCAAGAAACAGAGAAAGAGGCCCTCTTCACCCTATTGAAAAAATACCTAGATAGAGGGACGAATACCTGAGGAATGGAGACACATTAAAATAGTCCCGATTTTAAAGCCCAGTAAGGATCCAGCAGCAACGGAAAGCTACAGACCAATCGTACTTTTATCAACACTGTGCAAGACTATGGAAGGAATTATTAAAGGTAATCTCGACGAGCATATAGACCAACATAATATCATACCTCCTCGGTTATACGCTTTTCGAAAGAGGAGATCTACAACTCAATGTATCAATGATGTTATCAACTCGGTCCCACATCTCAAAAGCATCGGTAAACACGTAGTAGGAGCAGGAATTGATCTGCAAAATGCGTACGATAATGTCAATATTCAAACCTTAACCAATATTCTAAATTAAAGTAATACAACAGAAGCGGTCGTCAGAGGGATTAAGGAGTTCCTCGGCAGAAGAATTTTACACCTTGGCAAAGAAACTATTGAAACCAACAAAGGACTATTAAAAGGGAGTGGACTTAGCCCATTTATTTATTTTATTTTTAAGACCTTAGTCTGATAATTAAAAATTATAGACTAGGTATGAGGAGCTATGGCTGCTTTGGCCTTAAGCTCGGTCAATTACAATACTTTCAATTTGTTTACATATGTATTGGTTTTTATGTACTAATTTTAGTATATACATATTTATATTAATAATCTATATTTTTTGGTATAGTGTTGTTATTTTAAGATAAGTTATAATTTGTTCTGTGTTTTTAATAGTAGGGTTGGAGAGGGATTCCATAATGGAGTTATTTGGAAAAAGGGTATCTCTATGGAAATTAAAAAAAGGACATTCTGACAGTATGTGCTTGATACTAAGTGTTGCATTGTTGCAGTATTGGCAGCTGTTAGTCAGGCTTCTGTCGAAAAGGTATTCGTGGGTGAGTCGAGCATGGCCTAGACGGAGTCTTACAAATTTTATTACATCCAGTCTGCTTAAATATGTATTTTTGTTGCTTAATTTTTTTATAAAGTCAGTAATAGGTTGCTTTTGCTGGTTACATGACTTGTACCAGTGCGACGTTAAACTCCAGGTGTGATTTAATGCGTTTACTTTAGATCGAATTTTTTTATGTCACTTGTATTGAGGTTGGTCTGCATTATTAAAGGGGCTGAGGTTGCATATTTGGCTACTGTATCGGCTAATTCGTTTCCTGCTATATTTTTATGACTCGGTATCCATATTAAGACGATCTTTGGTGCGAACTTGTAAAGAACTTCCCTTATTGCGCAGGGGTAGTAGTCGCTGTTACCAGAATTTTTAATTGCATCTAAAGCAGATAATGAATCAGAACATATTGCATGCTTTTGTCGTGAGCTCTTAACTTTGTTTATTGCTATAAGTATTGCTGTTAGTTCAGCTGTAAAAACTGAGCTGTACTCAGGAAGGATACCTGCAGCTATATAGCAGTGCTCATTGGTCACACTATATCTAATGCGATTATTGGCTTTTGATCCATCTGTAAATATGAATTTAAAATCTCTGAACTCACTTTTAAGTTTTAAAAACTCCTGTTTTATGACTTCGGCCGAACACGATTGCTTATTGTACTTTCGTAACTTGGTAATTATTAAATCTTGAGGATTAAAAAATGGTGGTACGCTATGGGCAATAGGTTTTTGTGGCAAGTGGGGGATTTCCTCTTCTTTGCAGAGGTTTAGCGCTCTAATCAACGTAGAAGGAAATTTGTTGGTTGTTTTCCTTTTGCTGTAATTTATAATTAATTGACGTAAAGGAGTATCGGCACCATTAACGAGATTTTTAAAAAGCATGAGAGTGAGCTGACTCCTTCTGAAAGTGATAAGTTGAATACCTGCTTCTGTAAGCATACAGTTTATTGGTGTGGTTCAGAATGCACCTAGGGACATTCTGATGGCGGAGTTAATTATGGTTGAAATTTTATTAAGAAAATTATTTGGGCAGTAGCCATAGATGTAAAGGCAATAATCGATTTTGGTCAGTATTATTGTCTTGACTATATAAATAAGCAAGTAGTATTGCAAGAAAATTTGGTATTTGATAATGATTTGATAATATTGAGTCTGCTGCTCAGTGCGTTGCATAGTTCATCTATATGAGTTTTACATGTGTATCGCTGGTTAATGGTAATTCCTAGTATTTTCATTTTGTCCGTATTTGCAATTTGTGTTTGCGAATGTTATTGTGCTCTTGCATAATTTCTTTCGACAGATGTGGATTTGCTTGCATTTCGCTGGCGATAGTAAAGCTCCTGAGGACTTGCACCATGTATCAATGTCTTGAAAAAGAGAGTCTAGATTTACGTTTGGACTTTTTTCTTTCTTGTGTTTTATAAGAAGGTGAAAATCGTCTGCGTATGCGGTGAAACTTATTTCTTTGTATCGTTCAATTATTTTACATAAACTATTATATGCGATAAGAAATAGAACAACTGAGAGGGGGGATCCTTGTGGTATCCCGTTGTGCAGTGGCTGTGTACTTGAAAAGTTGTGGTTTACGTATACTTTTATTTTACGTTTAGTCATGAAATTTTTTATAAAAGTAATGATTTTGGGACCTATTTTCCAATTCTTCATTTGGTCAATTACACTGTGGACTCCCACCCTATCGAATGCTTTAGCAAAATCCAGAGCAACCATTGAGGTGTGACCTTTGTGTGATAAGGAATCGGTAATCAGGTGGTCTACGTAAAGAAGAGCCTCTGTTACTGATTTTCCTTTTCTAAATCCAAATTGATGAGTAAATACTAAGGAGTTTATTTTCTAAAATAAACCACCATACTCTATTAGCGATGATTTTTTCCAATAGTTTTGCGCAGCATGGGTTCAGGGAGATAGGGCGATAAGATTTTGTTAATGATTTGTCGGACTTGGGTTTCAAAATTGGGATAATCATACTTGTTTTGTACATTTGAGGGATATAGTTATTGAAAATATTGTTATACAAATTTAGAAGTCTTTTTTGAGTAGAGCTGGAAAGATTTTTCAACATCGGGTAACTAATACGGTCGTAACCTGGAGTATTCCCTTTTAGCTTGCTTAGAGCACCTTCAAGTTCTATTAGAGTGATTTCCGAGTCAATAGGACATGAATTCGAATTTGTGTCGATGCTTTGTGTTCGACTCAAAACTGCTTGCTTACAAGTTTGAAAAGTAGTTGAAAAATTATCGTCAGAGGATGACTGGTCATGGCAGAATTCTTCGGCTATTAGATTGGGTTCGGTTATATTAGAACCTGATGTACTACTACTAAGGCAGTGTACACTGTTTGATTTTATGTTGTAACCGTATAGTCTCCTAATGTTGGTCCAGATACTGGATATCGACGTGTTTGGGCTGATTTCAGCAGTGAATTCGGAGAGGGATTCTCGCTTAGCTTTTTTAATTTCTTTTCTAAGTTTTGCAGATGCTTTTTTATACTGGATGATATTTTCTGAATTAATATGGCGTTTCAGTTTGTTAAAATGTGTGTTTTTTATATTTTTTAGCGTTTGGAGGTGGGAGTTCCACCATGGAACATTGTGTTTAGAAGTTAACGTCGAAAATTTTGGAATGGAAGAATGTGCACTTTGTAATATTATTTTGTTTAAATTTGCTGCTTCCTTATTAATATTGTTTGTTTGCGGAAATTTTTCATTAAAACTTAGTGTATTGCACGTGAATTTTTCCCAGTTTGCTTTTTTTATGTTAAAAATTGGTTTTGAATATTTTTGATTGGACGTACGTGAAGGGAATAGGTTTATTATAACCGGGAAATGATCACTGCCGTGTAAACTGCTTTCTATTTTCCACTCGGCCTGAAGACCTATTATGGGTGAACAGAACGATAAATCAGGATGCGTAAAAGTATTACGTGTGCTGAAATGAGTTGGTGAGCCATCATTTAATATAATGAAGATAGATTGGTTAATGAAATTAGCTAGAATTTTTCCTTTTTTGTCTTCAGATGGTGAACCCCAATTTCGATGGTGGCTGTTAAAGTCGCCAGTAATAATGCTTGGCAAATTCAAATTTCCAAGGACATTACAAAGATTGCTGTTGTTAAAAGATTTGTTTGGTGGAATATATGCTGATATAATGGAAAATTTGATTTTTGATTGAACTTCTGTGTACATTGCATCGACGGAATTAAATGTTTTGATTGAGTTGTGCTGGACAGACTTGTGAACTAAAAAAGCAACTCCGCCATATGAATTTGTTGCATTGTGTGAGAAAAATGAATAATTTATAGGGATAGGAATAGGGATGTGTTTATTGTGTATGGTGTGGATTTCTTGAAGAGATATGATTTTCGGACTGTATTTTTTAATTAATAAAAGAAGTTGATTGTAATTATTTAAATAGCCTCTTATATTCCATTGGATGATTATAAAGGTCATGCCAATGTTTATACCCGTGTATACGTATGAAAAAATAAGTGATTGTATGAATAAATATATATAAATAGGAATGTAAACGTATCGTTTAAATTTGTGTTAGTATGCGTAAATATAGGTTTGTACGTATAATAATAGTTGTTAGACTTTTTTATTCCATATACTCAAAATCAGAATTATACATATCTCCTTGATCATTTGAGTTTTCCTTTTTGGATTTGTTTCGTAGTAGATTCAGAGTTCTTCTGTTTGTATTTCTTGGTATAATTTTTAGTTGAGTGGTAGAGCTAGGTTTTTTGTTTAATTTTCCTGCTACTGATGTTGATGTTGGTGCAAGAGCGTTGAGAAATTTGTCAATATCAACGTCATCGTACGATATAGGCTTTCGAGTGGGGAGAGATAAAGGCGGAGGTGTTGGCGTCTGTATAGTTGGTGTTGGTATCTGTGTAATTGTTGTTGGCATCTGTGTGGTTGAGTTTTTTGTTATACCAGTGGAAGCAATTGGATTTGAGTGACTTTCAGAGATCTCTTTAGTTGTTTGAGTTGAGTACTTTGTTGTTGTTGCATACGTGGAGTTGTTTTGTTGATGTCTTTGGTGGTATATGTTTGTTGCTTTCTTGTGGCTTACTTTCTGGAGTGTTTTGATTGCAGTAATCTCTTGCTGTTTAACAAATGTTGGGCATCGTTTGTCTAGTGGAGAGTGAGAAGTAAATTTAAGCTTGCTCTCAGTGCAGTTTATGCACGATGGGCTATTTGTGCATTGTTCGTTTAAATCAGCGTCTGTATGTTGTTGTAAGCTACAGTTAACACATGTCTTCTGGTTTAGGCAAACCTTGTAAGGGTGGCCATAGCGCAAGCAATTTTTACAGCGAAGAGGTTTGGGTATGTATGGTCGGATATTGGTTTTATGATAGCCGATCATAATATGTTCCGGAAGGTAAGATGTCCGAAAGGTTAGAATGACTAATCCAGTTTCCTGCAGCTCTATTTCTTTTTTTTTCATAATTTTTTTTACGTCAACGACCCCCTGACTTTCGAGTTCAGCACGAATAATTTCTTCGCTTATGTCTCTCAATTCATTTGAGTAGATGACTCCTTTGCTCGTGTTAAGTGCGAGATTCTCGGTGACTGTGACCTTGATGTTGTCCGTAAATGAGGTGATTTTGAGTAATTTTTTGGCTTGTTCGATGTTTTTTGTTTTGATAAATAGTGTACCGGTGCTTGTCTTTGTGCATTCTTCCACTTCACCTCCGCAGGCAAAGTCTATAACTTTCTTGATTAGGAATGGAGATACGTTTTTTAATGTTTCACCTGTGTTGCTCTGCCTCGATATAAAGAGATATCTCGGCTCAGGAATTTTAAGCCGACCAGGCGGCTCTACCATTGTTGATCGTTTTTATTCTGTTTTGTGTTTTTAAAGTGTTATTACTTAAATTATTTGATATTTTAGGTATGTGTCTTAAGTGTGTACGTATGTATAATTCAAAATTTTTTTTTTGTAAAATATTCACTAGCGTATGAGTACTTATATAATGCAGAGAGATATCGCTTGTCAACGTCTGTTCACTACGAAGGTTGATCTGACACTCATAGCCCATTATTATTCAAAATTTATACAAAGAAACTACACCAAATATCTAGATAATAACACTATTCTTTTTCACTTCGCGGACGATAGTAATTTTATCTCTGCTAAAACTCAATTAAAACATAAGCTGGAGAAATTTAAGGAAATCTGCGACCAACTAGACCTAACCATCAATTTTCATAACACTAATTTAATATATTTTAACAATAAAAGAAAAGCCCTAGACATTCATATACAGAACACACCCTTGAGAGAAGTCAATTCGAATAAAATTTAGGACGCTTTATCAACAAAAACAATTCAGCAAATCTCCATATAAACGAAATAATAGATAAAACTTTTGTTGGTTGGTAATTTTCTCAAAACGTTGAGCGGATGTACCTTTGGAGTGAGACCGTCTAGAGCCCTGTAGCTATACAAAGCCTTTGCAAGGCCCAAATTAGAATATGCTGCATCATCATTCGCGAACATATCCAAAACCACCTCAAATAAGCTCAATAGTTGTAACAATAAATTCGTGAGGAAAAATATGGGACTAATCAAATCTACCTCAAACCACGTATTACATCATATGGCAGCTGAACTTCCTCTTCAATACAGACTGCAACTTTCAACAGCTAAAGAACTACATAAAGCCTTTGCCTTCGAACTTCCAGTCAAAGAACTATTAAGTCACCAGCAAGTACAAATTTCTACCAGCTATACCAAAATATTGTAGGCTCTGCTTCAATATGCATAAATTAAGACGCACCCTAATAAGCCTTTATCTCACCGTATTTGAAGCTGCAGACTTAAGCGCACACCATGGAACACTTATCGTCAGTGTTGCCGTTTTGGTTACTTTTAACTAATTTTGGTTATTTTTTTTTGCATGTGAAGTTTTTCCCATTTTGGCTATTTTTTAATATCTACTGTAGTTTTTAATTTTTACTAATAATAATTTAATCTTATATCTAAACAATCAGTTGTATGAGAGCTATATGTTATAGTGACTCGATCTTTGTAATTTTCACTCCAAGTTTTCTGTTGATAATGGGTGGAAGTATTGCAAAATTTCATGTTCCTAGCTGCATAAATGGAGAAGTTATAACGAAAAATCTCATATCTGAACAATCAGTTGTATGGGAGCTATATGTTATAGTGGTCCGATTCTTCCGGTTCCGACAAATGATTAATACATTATAAAAATACACCCACCTACTAAATTTGATCCGGATATCTCGTAAACTGAGAGACTAGATTGCATACAAACAGACGGACAGACAGACAGACAGATAGACGGACAGACGGACATGGGTAAATCGACTCAGCTCGCCGTTCTGATCATTTAAGTATACATTTTAATGGGTCTATCTCTTCTTATTCTGGTACTTACAAACATCGGACCAAAGTTATAATACCATTTCATGCTCATGAAAGGTATAAAAAATCGCAGCAAAAAAATTTCTCCATGCATGGCTAGACCAATTTCCTTGGTTGCAAAATGTCAATGGAGCAAGCCATTGTATGGCTTGCGACAAAAAGTTGTCGAACCATGTCACTGATTTAAAGAAACATGGTTCCTTGGCCGTACATTTGCAAAACGTGAAAAACAAAGAAAAAACAAATACAAATCCAAAAGTTTTTGAGTAGCGAAGAAATAACGTTATCTGGACAAGTAAAATACGCTGAGCTAACACTTGTCATGTTCCTTATTTGCCATAATTTACCATTCCTTCTTATGGATTTTTTACCAGCGCTTCTAAAGGATTGTTGCCCTGACTCCAAAATTGCTGCGGCTATTCAATGTGGCAGAACGAAGTCAACCGAAATTGCTGACATTTTGGGCAACAAAGCCAAAAATAAAATCGTACGTAAATTAAAATCGTCAAAATTTTCCCTCATTGTGGATGAGACCACTGATTTGTCTACAAAGACATGTTTAGTCTTAGTTGTAAGATATTTTGACAAACTAACACAAAGGGTATATGATTCGGTTTTAAGTTTAATTGAATTAAAAAATTGTGATGCAAGTTCCATTTATGATGCAATCAAACAGTTTTTTTGTGAACAAGGTATTCCGTTAAAAAACATAATCGGTTTAGCAACCGATGGTGCTAACGTAATGGCAGGACAACTTAATGGTTTAAGGGCAAAGCTTAAGCCCGATACTGATTTCTTTTATATTAAATGTACCTGCCATTCGTTGCACCTATGTTCGGCTTATGCAAGTAAACAGCTCACAGTGGTTCGGATGGCAGATCTAGCTGGACGAAAGTCAAAATTTTTTTGTTTTTAAAATACTTAATGGACCTTGGAATACATTCCTGACAATACATTCAAATAAAAATTGCATTTATTAAAGCATTAACATATGAAAACAAACAAAAAAAGGTAAGTCAACGCCGCCTATTTGAGAACTCTATTTTAAAAGCTGAAATTTAACTTAAAAGATTGCTAATTTCACTCACAGATATTTGCATAATTGCAAATTAACTTTATAAATAAAAAATTACACTGATTCCGCTATAGATTCAGAGGTCATAACGCAATTTATGTCCACATTGGTATGTGTGTTAAAACAGAAAAATACTTGGAGTTATAAAAACTTTGGTTATGAAGAGTTAAAAAAAAATAGTAACTCGCGAATTTTTTGCTTTCTGAAATTAAAAAATTATACAACAGGCATGTAAATATTTAAGCGCTGTTATAAAATTTTTTCTGAAATTTATTTGTGTCTCTTGCTGTGATCTTAAATTTTATTCATGGTAAATAAAATCTTAAGAAGTGAGTTGTTTGACATTTGGAGAAGGGTTGCTGAAACTTCTAAAAGGTGTCCGTGATTATGTGATTAGTAAATTGAAAGAAATATCTGATGCAAATGCTCATTCCGAAGTAAATAAAGTAAATTAAGTAAACGACTTTAGATTCGTAATCAGCAACCCAGAAAACCCCCAGATACCCAGTTGCATAGAAATCTACCGATTTTTTTAAATTTTCGTCCTCCTTATTGGAACCATCATTTTGAATTTTTGGTAAATGACTTTAGATATGTAATCAGCGACCCAGAAAACCCCCAGATACCCAGTTTCATAGAAATCTACCGATTTTTTTTTATTTTCATCCGTCATATTGGATCCGCCATTTTGAATTTTTGATAAGTGACTTCAGATTCGTAATCAGCGACCCAAAAATCCCCTAGGTAAGAAGTGGTGTAAAGATCCATCAAAGAGTATTTGTTTAAATAGTTTCGTCCAGCTAGATTTGCGATCCGAACCACTGTGCAGCTTCCTCACAAAATTGAAGAGCTCTGTCGCAACATTTTTAGTTT